CCAGGCATAGTTATTCACACCTGTAATCAGACATTCTCCCAGACATAGTTATACATACATGTAATCAGACATTCTCCCAGGCATAGTTATACACACCTGTAATCAGACCTTCTCCCAGACATAGTTATACATACATGTAAACAGACATTCTCCCAGGCATAGTTACACACACAGGTAATCCTCACATTCCAGAGCCTGAGGCAGGAGAATGTGAGTAACAGAAAACCTGAACTTTATAAACAGATCTATCTAAAAAACACCAAGGGCATCATCTACAGATATATGTGCACAAATACACATGCACACCCATAACTGTATTCCAGTACGGTTTCACTGTGTAGCCCTGACTTGCCTGAAACTCACTATGTACAGGCTGGCTTCAAACTCAGAGATCTGCCTGTCTCTGCCTCCTTTAAAGGTGTGTGCCACCAACCTGTGCGCACACATATGCATGCATTATCAAACTCGACAGTGTGCTTATGTTTAAAGAAAGGGCCGGTAAGATGGTTCTACAGATAAAGGACCTGCTGCTGTGTCTGATAACCTTTGCTCAATCAATCCTAGGATCCATATGGTGGAAGGAGAGAGGAAACCCAAGCTCTCAGGTTGTCCTCTGACCTCCACACAACGCTGTGCCCACAAAATAAACACAAGTATAATATAAAAGTGTGACGACAGGTAACGCAATCACCAGTGAAGTGGAGGGAGGAGAGTTATGAGTCAAAGGTCAGCCTGGGCTATATATTAGGACCCTGCCTTTCAACAAACACAACAGAATGAGAAAGAAAACATTTGCAAATCCTAAGGGTTTATACTCAGAATCTCAATTTAAAAAAGAAGAGCAAAACCAAGCATGGGGTCCCACAGCCATGACCCCAGCACTTGGGAACTAGAAACAGAAGAATCAGACATTCAAGGTCCCTCCTAACCTACTTAGAAAGTTAAAGGCCAGCCTGGGTTACATCAGACCCTGCTTTACAAAAAGAAAAATTCTCTGATCGCAGAAATAAACAAAAGACTTGAATAGATACTGTATATAAGAAGTCAACAAGCTAGGCGGTGGTACAACTGAGAGGCAGAGGCAGGTGAATCTTTGACTTCAAGGCTAGCCTGGTCTACAGGGTGAGTTCCAGAATGGCCAGGGATACACAGAGAAAGCCCATCTCAAAACAATAACAAAAAGAGGCCAACAAGCATGTGGGAATACTCCCTGCTCACTAAAGAAATGCAAATCAAAAGCCAATAAATGCCACTAACTGCCACTCTGTAGCCACTAGTTTTTAATTTCTTAAATTTCATGCATTTACTTTATGTGTTTGGTGTTTTGTCTGTTGTGTGTCTGTGCACCACATAGGTCCCTGGTGCTTGGTTTCCCTGGAACTGGAGTTACTGACTATTGTAAGCCAACCTGTGGGTGCTGGGAATTGAACTTGAGTCCTTTGGAAGAACAGCCAATGCTCTTAACTGTTGAGCCATCTCTCCAGGCCCTATTCTTTAATTTTTAAAACCCCAACTGAAAACTAACTAGGGCTGGCCATGATTTGGAGAAATTTGAGGTCCTGCACACGGCTAGGGAAAATGCACAGTGGCACAGCCACTGTGGAAATTTGTCTGGAGGTCCCCGAGGGAGATGCACCCTAGGCAAATATCTGAGAGAAATGAAAGGCTCTGTCCTCGCAAAGACTGGTGCTCCAGTCTCCACAGAATTACTATTTGTACACAACCCAAAGTGACGGCAAAACAAAGTCCAGGAACTTATGAATAAGCTGAGGTACATATGTAGCATGGAATGTTACTCAGTCACAAAAAAAAGGACAAATTATCAAATTCAAGGCAAAACACAAATGAGCCTTGAAATCTTATGCTGAATGAAAAAAGCCAGACAGAAGAGGTCACATAGTGTGTGACTCCATGGACGTAAAATGCCCAGAATAGGCGAAGCCACATCCACAGAAAGATTAGTGGTTACCAGGGGATGGGGCAAGGGGTAAATTGGGAGTGGTTACTTAATGGACCTAGAGTGTTTTTCTAGACCAATAAAGTTCTGAAACCAGAGAGAGGCGGTGGTTACACAACATCATGAACGTCCTCAATGACAATGAACTGTACCCTTAAAATGGTTAATTGTATGTTATGTGAATTTCACCTCAGTTAAAAATGTAAACGTCAATTTAAAAAGAGAATAGAAACTACAAAACACGAACATCACCTCCAACTCCCTGGTGGCCCTGAGAACCTAGAGATGCCAAAGTTCCACCCTTTGCCTCCTTTGGCCTCACTGCAGCTCAAGAGGTGGGATCCTCTGGGCTCACCGATGGGAAGTCACTGAACCAAGCACACACAGAAACCCAGGGACAGTGGCTTCCCCGAGTCACTGCGCAACCTGGGGTTCTCCTCAGGCTCCCTGCCTGGGAGCTGGTGAGGTCAGGCATGGGGAAATGTCTGTGCAACCGCAAGGCAGGAGTTAATGACTGAGGAGCTTGGAATGTACTGCTTCTGGAAGGGCGCCTTGTGGCTCCACGCTTCGAGCAGGAAGGGACTTTCAAGTCACGTACACACACTGCACTGGGGACCTGGACCCTGCTCAGCTGCCACAGGCAGTTTGAGGAGAAGGCAGCCCGAGAGGTATGCAGTCAAGATGGACTCGCGTCAGCTCTCCTAGGTGCCACCACCAGGCCGCTTGCATCATCTGTCTAGCTCTGGTCAGCCAAAGAGTTCAAAGACCAGTCGTGTGTGAGTGCACTCAAGCGTGAGTGTGTGCGCATGCAAGAGCGCATGTGCCGCAGCACTCGAGGAGATCATGAGAAGCTTTTGGGAATCAGTTGTCTCCAGGGTGCAAACTCAGGTTGTCAGGCCTGTTGTGGCAAGCACTTTGACCTGCTGAGCTATTTCCGCTGCCCTGTTTTGTTTCTTGAGACAGAGACTCCTGTAGCCCAGACTGTCCTTGAACTCCATTTTGTAGCAGCTGCAGACTCTGAACTTCTGTCCTCCCGCCTTCACCTCCAGAGCTCTGGCACCACAAGCGTTCACCACCACCACACCTGTCTCTGTGACGTTGTTGTATGTATATATCTCTAGCAATCCTCAAATGTAGCTATCACTGTGTCCGCATTTCACAAATGAAGAAACTCAGAGTGGCTGGGTGAGTCATCCTGGACACACAGCAGATGGTCAGTCTAGCCAGAATTCAAACCCAGAACCCAGAGCTTTCTGAGTCCACCACGTACATATTCGGATTCTTTCCCTGGGTCTCACTAGCCCCAGGACTCTCTCCGCATGGGTCTCACTGGCCCCAGAACCCCTTCATACACACCTGCATTCTCTTTTGGAAAACTGCTGCGGTCTCCCAGAAAGACAGGCGTTTGTAGACTCAGTAAGGGACCGGCACAGGCTGGTGACCTGAGGATGCTGTACAGCAGAGCACTTTCACACCTGCAGTCCCCTCTGGCCCCATAGCAGCCCTGTGACAACAACAGTGAGGCCCAACAGAGACTCAGGAAGGTGACCTGCCTGGGTCACGCAGACACAAGGTACAGCTCTATGACTAGAAACACAGGACCACTCTGGCTGCCCAGCCTGAGTCCAACCCTGGCCTCTGGTCCCAAAGAAGACAGTCGAGGACCTGTTTCCCTGAGGGCGAACCTCTTCAGTTTCCATTGAGATGGAAAGAAGCCAAGGAGGGAGCTTTGGGACCGTTCTCCCAGCCACATGGTCTACGGAGATGGGCAGTGTAAAGGCTAGGAGCCCTGATGGCCTGGCTCGGTCACCAGACTCAGCCACTTACTTAGTAGCCTTGGGCAACTCATTTCAATACCTGTCAACCTCGGTTTTCTCCATGTGTAAAATGGGGGTTAGGATGGCACCTACCTCCCCAGCACACTTGGCCAGGCCTCACCCTCACAGAGACCTTTCACACAGTTCCAGAGAAGGCTGGTGACGCACACGGTACCAGAGGAGTGCCTCCAGACAAGAAGTCTCATTGACTGCGTCTCAGGACATCTGTAGGCTCTCTCTGCCTGCAGAAGCCTGGATTAAAACTTGTGCTAGCTCCGGAGACTGCTTGATTATAGTGCTTTCTATCTGTGGGTACCCAAGTGCCACTTCATTTAATGTTGAAATGTTTTGTTTTATGAGACAGGGTTTCACTGGTAGCCCCGGCTGTCCTGGAACTCACTCTGAAGATCTGCCTGCCTCTCCCTCCCAGGTGCTGGAATTAAAAGTGTGCACCCCACTGCCCCCTTTGGTCAACGTTAAAATAAATATAACTTTTTTGTAACCCCGGGGTTTGTCACTTATGCACTTTTTAGTCTATCAGAGGCCTTGACACCAGTTGAAGCTGGGTGTGGTGCCACACGCCTGTGACAGCTGCCCTCCACGCAGGAGGTGCAGGCGAGAAGACCAGCAGTTCCAGGTTATTCTAAGCTAGCTACATAAGGAGTTCAAGACCAACCTGGGCTATAGGAAACTCTATCTAAAGACAAAAAAAAAAAAAAAAGCCAGGAATGATGGTGGCACATCCCAGCACCTGAGAGGTGAAGAATTAGGAGTTCAAGGACAGCCTCCACTAAGTAGCAAGTTCAAGACCAGCCTAAGATACCCGAGACACTATCCCAACCATCCTTCCTCGACAAACAATAAACTCAGCTAAACTTTCCACCCCATTACAGAAGCCAGGATGACAGACTCGGGAGACCGTTGGGATGATTCCTGCCAGGTATATAATGATGCCAGCAATAATTCATCATATCTATAATTCACTTCAAGAGTCTCCAGCTAGTTTTCCCGTTCTTCTAAGTCCCCTAGCGAGGACAATCGGTTACCCGACTGTTTCGTCCTGTTTTATGGGCGTTGGGAACCTTGGCTAGCCCAGACGGGGCGGGGCACAGTTGCAAGCCCCAACCTCAGCTAGGTGCGTCAGGGGGAATCCTCGCTGCACCTGGGAGCGGCGAGGAAATTGCACCATGTATGGGCAGCTGCGTCAGAGGGGGCGGGGCCACCGCAGAGGCTAGGGGACGCCAAGCCGGTCGCTTTCCTCAGCAGAGACGGCTGGTCACCAGAGCAGGGGGTCGTGAAGTTCCGTGCGGACCGGCCCACAGCGGCTCGTTTGGAGAGGTGGGTCCCCGGAGAGGTGAAAGACGCCGCGGCGACACGCCCCCTACCCCCCGCGCTGCAAGTGGTTCAGCCCGAGAACTTTTCATTCATAAAAAAGACAAGACTCCGCGAGGCGCGAGTGAGTCAGAACCGCAGCCGCCGACGCGGACCCCACCGAGCATCAGCCCAGGGCATGTACCGAGACTTCGGAGAACCGGGACCGAGCTCCGGGGCTGGCAGCGCGTACGGTCGCCCCACGCAGGCCCCGCAAGCTCAGGCGCAGGCCGCCCAGCAGCAGGTGAGGCTGGCCGGACCCCCGAGAGGGACCTGGGTTTGAAAGGCATTAGAGGTGCTGGAGTTAGTCTGGTTTGCTTCGGGTTTAGGACCGCGACCCCGAGCAGCGTCTCCCTTTGGTGGTCGCGACCGTGGATCCTGTATGTTCTGCGCGGTCCAGGAACCGGTGTTCCCCGTGGCCAGGGGGACAGGCGCAGCAGGAGGAGCGACGATCTACGAATCCCCTTCTTGTCCTCCCGCATCTCCCTAGCTGACTGTCAATCTGCCCCTCTGTCTCCGTTAGTCTTTATTTCCTCTTGTCTGCCTCTAAATACTGGTTTCTCACCTGCCCCATCCTACGACTGAACAGGATCAGAAGAGCGCTCTGTCCCCAGCTTAATAACCGGGACCTGGACACACCGGAGAGATTGGGGGAGGGGAGTGTCCATTAGAACCCGGCCGGGTCAGCGAGTCTTTAGCAGTCTGTCTGTGACTGACCATGTGTCGCTTCCAGTTGTCCGTGTCCCTCTGCCCCGGTCAAGTCCCTATCCTTTTGAACTCAATATAGTTCTGTGGGCCCCAGGTAGTGGCTCTGAGGGGTTCCCGGAGACTGACTGTCCATTCCCTAAGCCCAATGGAGACCACGAAGTGTTGGGACATGCGCAGGGTCATCCACCAGGCCACTCTCGCGCCCCATACTCTCGGCACCCGACGGTTCCCACTGCTGGCTAGAGGCACTCGAGAGGTTGCAGGTGCCCATTTCCTGTCGAGGGGCCGCGAGCACGTGTTGCCAGGGGAGGGAAGGAGCTGCGTCCGTTCTGCCGAGTCACAGCGAACCGAGTCACTGGGGCTGAGTCACCCTGGGTGCCCCTCCCTTCCTGGCCCCAAACGGCCCCCAGGACCGAGGACCTAGGAGCGGGAGGTGCTCCTGGAGATACTTCTAGCCCACAACTGGGGTCACTGAGCTTCTGTGTCCCCCAATACTGGGCTGGGGACATAGTTGTCCCAGGCATGCCTAGGCATGTGAGGTGTTCCCTGGACGGAAGGAGCCCCGCACCCTTAGCTCACAGGTCTTAAACTCGTTCTCTCCCCTAGAACACTCACGCCCCTCCAGATTCCCCCACACACACACCTCCCCGCCCAATCCCAACAAAGCTCAGATTTCTGGTTTAAAAAAAAGAACTAAAGAATGCCAGGCCTCCGATGGAGGGTTTTTCATCTCTTTAACTTATTTTACGGACTCCAAAATCCCATCAATTTTGAGCCTTCAAAATTTTAAATTGACAATTGGGCATGCCTTTAATCCCAGCATTCAGGAGGTGGAGGCAGAGGCAGGTCAATCTCTGGGCGTTGGAGACCAATTTGGTCTACAAAGTGAGTTTCAGGACGGCCAAAATTACATAATAGAAAGATCCTGTCTCAAAAAAAAAATTAAAAGCCAATTCAACTCCGATTTCTGAGTCGGCATCTCAACAGCAATGAAATATTGCATGGTATCAAGAACAAAAAAAGTGACGTAACACTGAGGCTAAGTAACTTGCCCCAGTCACAAGTTCAGTAGATGAGCGGATACTTGAGACATAGCCCTTGTTCACATATCGGTCACCTGACTCCCCTAGGATGCTCTGTTAGACATTCTAAGCCAGGTGTGATGCTACCTGCCTAGCTTCAGTGTTTGGGAGGTGGAGGCAGAAGGGTCAAGAGTCTAGCCTAAGCTACGTGAGATCCTGTCTCTTACCGGATTCTCAGAGTTGGCTGGGGAACTAGAAGCTGGATTTATGCTCTTTTGTGAGGGTGGGCACAGGAATGGGTGAGAGCCAAGCCATTTGGGCTCAAAACTCAGTTTCTATTTGCTGGCGGTGGGTCTGTGGGCAACTGTTATCCTGTCTGAAAATGAAGACAGGATTGTGCCAGCTGTGAGTCACCGTTTATAAAGCGGTTGGAAGAGTGAGGGGCCGTTCATACTTGGTAAGAATTATCTGATGGGGAAATAGAGGTAAAAAACCATTATGTGACCTGCCCAAAGTTACCCAGCTCATGAACAAGTTTCTGATTGCCAAACTGTGCTCCCTGTGACCTCCCAGGGCCAGTGTCTGCATTGAGAGTAGAAAGGGCATGGCCTCTGTCCCCTGGAAGTCCCTCAGTTCCCCTCATCACCCACCCTCTGCTCTTACTCCTCAGAAATTCCACCTTGTGCCAAGCATCAATGCTGTCAGTGGCAACCAGGAACTGCAGTGGATGGTGCAGCCTCATTTCCTGGGGCCCGGTGGCTATCCCCGACCTCTGACCTATCCCCAGTACAGCCCCCCTCAGCCCCGGCCAGGAGTCATACGAGCCCTAGGGCCACCTCCAGGGGTGCGTCGCAGACCCTGCGAGCAGGTAAGGAACAGAGGTGTTGCACTTTCGATAGCCCTTAGGGGTCCAAAGAGGCAGGGGACAGGATCTTGCTATAAGAGACCTTCCATCGCCCATAGGAGTCCCTGGGAGGCCAAGAAAGAGGCAAAAGGTCACTTGTGAGTCAAGGAAGGCTTCCTGGAGAAGGGCTGCATGTTAACCTAAGCCACAGATGGGATGAGTATAGAAAGCTGAAGGAATCTTCTTGGGAATGGGGTTGGAGGAGCAGGAATGGAGGTGGGGAGGACGGAGTGTAATGTAAGGTGGGTATGTGGAAAAGAGGGGGACTCCATTGTCTGACATGCATGGAATGGGTAGCCTTATGCTGCCTACGTGCCTTGGGGTGAGAGAAGAGTAGGAACACTCTCTGAATCTGTTTCTTTTAATGCTCACAAAAAGTGAATGGGAAGCCAGGCGGTGATGGTGCACGCCTTTAGTCCCAGCACTTGGGATGCAGAGGCAGGCAGATCTCTGAGTTCTAGACCACCCTGGTCTACAGAGTGAGTTCCAGGACTGCCAGGGCTACATAGAGTAACCCTGTCTTGAAAAATAAACAAAGCAAAAGTGAATGGGAAATGTATTTCAGTTTTTCCATCTCCCAGCAGAGGAAGTGAGAGCCTAGACAGGGAGTCACTTGTCCGAGTCCCTACAGTAAGTAACGGGGCAGGAGTGGCCTTGGCCTCAGGTCTGCTCAGCTCCATAGTCAGATCCTCCTGAGCCACACTGTCTCAGTGGGAGCTCACACAATGTTCCAAAGTGAGCCAAGAACTTCTGCCTCCCTGAAGTCCTTTCTAAATAAATAAGGGTATGTTTTTGCTTATTTGTGCTAGGGTCTTGTTATGTAGCCCAAGCTAGCCTTGAATTTGAGATCCTCCTGTCTCAACTTCCCAAGCGCTAGGTTCCACATGTATACTAGGACACCTGACAGAGACAGAGGACCCTTAAGGCCTAGCACTTCCTCCCTAAATACTCCTGGAGCACTATGAGAGTGTCATGGGGAGAGGTCTCCCTACTCAAAGCTGGCTTGCTGGGCACGAAGGTGCATGCCTGTAATCCTGGATTTAGGAAGTGGAGACAGGAGGATCGATTCAAGTACAATCTCAGAAACACAGGACATTTAAGGTCAGTCTGGGACACATAAACCCTGCCTCAAATAACCAAACAATAAAAGAAAACTTGACTTAATTATTGCCTAGGAAAAAAAACAAACCTGACTGTGCTGGTGACTGTGGAGAAGAGCCGCCCTGGACTCAATCCCCAGTGCGTTCACATGTTCCCAAGCGAACAGACACAAATCTTGGCCATGATGGCTAAGGAGAGGATGAAGTGGGGGGGCAAGGCCTTGGGAGGTATGTGAGATGGAGCAGAGAACAGCTAACAGCAGGCTCCCCACAAGAATAGCTTACCTCTGTGACCATAAGCAAGAGGCCGACCAAGGGCAAACCCTTCCACACTTCCTTCCCTTAGCCCTGTCCTGAGCTGTCACCTTTTGATCATGGGTGCTGCTGGGCCGGAGCTGTAGTGGGTAGGGTCCTCCTGGGGCAGGTGGCTCCATCAGATGGCCTTTCACTCAGTGGACATTAAATCCTGGTCTGGAACTTTAACCAGTTATTCACCTCTCTGAGCTCCAGGTCCTTATAGGTCCTTACGTGAGAGTCTGCTGAGGTCCAGAGAGATGACTCAGCAGTTAGCACTGGCTGCTTCTGTAGAGGACCACGGCTCCTTCACCAGCACCCATATGGAAACTCACTTCCCCTAATTCCCTCCAAAGGTTCTGACTCCCTCTTCTGGTCTCTACCAGCACTGCATGCTTGTGGTGTTCATACACACACATAGGCAAAACACTCATACACACATTTTTTTAAATCTTTTTTTGTTTTTGTTTGAGACAAGATTTCTCTCTGTAACAGCCATGGGTTCTTCTGGAACTTGCTTTGTAGACCAGGCTGGCCTTGAACTAAATTTTTTAACCTTAAAAAAAAAAAAAGAATCTATGTAGGGAGTGTGGATGAGATGGCTCCGATGGCTCGGGGTAAATGTACTTGCTTAATGATCTGAGTTCAGTCCCTGAAACCCACATAGTAGAAGGAGAACTGACCTCCTTCAAGTTGTCTTCTGATCTCCACAGTGCTATGGCACACTTGTGTCACACACACACACACACACACACACACACACACACACACACGATGTTTTAGGACTCTAGCAGGCATGGTGGCACATCCTTTAGACCTAGCACTTAGGAGGCAGAGAGATCACTGTGAGTTCAAGGATAGTCAGGGCTTTTACATGGAGCAACCCTGTCTTGAAAAAACAAAAACAAAGGGCTGGAGAGATGGCTGAGCAGTTAAGAGAACTGACTGCTTTTCCAGAGGACCTGGGTTTGATTCCCAGCATGTGGGTACATGGCAGCTCACAACTGTCTGTGACTCCAATTCCACGGGATCCAACACCCTCACACAGACATATATGAAGGCAAAACACCACTGTGTATAGAATAAATAAACTTAAAAAAAAAAGCAAAAACAAACAAAATAGACTATGTAGGAAGACAGGCAGATGGTTTGTCAGGCGAGTGACTATCCTGTGAGGATGGGTCCCTAGCACCCACACAGAAGCCCAGAGTAGCTATTGTAACCCCAGCATGGGAAAGGGGCAGGCTGAGACAGACAGTCCCCAGTAGCTCACTGGCTAACAAGTCCAGCCAAATGGATAGACTCCAAGTTTAGTGAGAGACTTTGTCTCAAAAAATAAGGTAGAGAATTGAGGAAGACACCCAGTGTTACCCCCAACACACGAACACACACAAAAATCAGGAGGCAGAGGCAGGTGGATCTCTGAGTTCCAGGACAGCCTGGTCTACAGAGTGAGTTCCAGGACAGCCAGGGCTACACAGAGAAACCCCGTTTCAAACAAACAAAAATCAAACAAGAACAAGCAAGACCCCATGCAGGGAAGCACGGCCTTTCACCCTCGTGCTTTGGAGGTGGAGGCAGAGGATCTATCAGGAATCTGAGGCCAGCCTGGGATACAGGAAACCTTATCTTTTTTAAAAAACAAATAAGATAGGTATGGTGACATACATCTTCAACCCCAACACCAGGGAGGCAGAAACAGGTGGATCTCTGTGAGTTCCAGGCCAGTCTGGTCTGCACAGGAAGCTCTAGGCCAGCCAGGGCTACACAGGGAGATCAGGTCTAAAATACAAAGAAACAAAGCTACAAAAAGCAAAAAGAATCTGTGTAAGGGCTAGGGGTATAACTCAGCCGTACAGCATTTGCCTAGCTAGTGTACTAGGCACTGGGTTTGATCCCTAGCACTGAATCAAAGAAAAAAAACCCTATAAAATACTTTGTTGGTACAGTAGATTCCCAGTAACTTTTGACACTCATGAGCACCTCCTGTGATTCCTAGCTCCTCTGGGAAGGAAGAAATTCCATCGTCTAGGCTGAGGGTCTTATAAAAGGAGATAATGGTGTATCATAGACTCAGGAGGAAAGGCTACTTATGCCTGGGAAATAAGGATTTCAACATCTTAGCGGAGCTCTAAGCTGAGGAAGTATAGGAGGAGGGTCAAAGCTGACGGAGCGGGAAAACATTACAGGAAAGAAACCAGCAGGAAAGCTAGAGTGAGCAGGCGACAAGCCCCTGGGACGGAGAAGCAGTTGTGTGATGGCGGTACCCAAACTACAGCTGAGGGAAAAGCCCCCAGTTTGATGGTGAGCCCAGGGAGGGCAGCTGGTGGCCCAGCATCTGCCTCACTATCCCCCTTCTCTTCTCTCCCAACCCAGATCAGCCCTGAGGAGGAAGAACGCCGCAGAGTGAGGCGTGAACGCAACAAGCTAGCGGCGGCCAAGTGCAGAAACCGGAGAAAGGAACTAACAGACTTCCTCCAGGCGGTGAGCACCAGCTGGGCTAGAGGGTTCCCAGGAGCACGAGAAATTACTCCTCCACATCCCACCCTCCTCCCTGTCGCGGGGAAGACGTGGGAAAAGGATAAGGAAATGGGGATTAAAAATTATTTGCCGCCGGGAGGTAGTGGCGCACGCCTTTAATCCCAGCACTCGGGAGGCAGAAGCAGGCAGATCTCTGAGTGTGAGGCCAGCCTGGTCTACAGAGCAAATTCCAGGACACCCAGGGATATTACCCAGATAAAGCCTGTCTCAAATAATTTGCCGTGGGTCTCGAAGCAGAGATGATGTTGGCAGGCAATTCTGCTGAAGCCCTGGACCTGCCAGGCCATGGTGGTGCATACTTTTAATCCCAGCACTCGGGAGGCAGGAGTTCCATGCCAGCCTGGTATATAAAGCGAGTAGAGAAAACAGAAATCTTGTCTTGAGAGGGGAAAAATAAAAAAAATAAAAAGAAGCAGCCCTGTGCCTGATAGGAGTCATGCCCATTTTCTCTCAGGGTCTCATGGGAGTTGCAGTTCAGACTTACTGGGGACTCCAGGCACAACCCCCACACTCTAGCCTGAGGCTTGGCAATCTTTCACACTCCTAAATTTCTCCTAATCCTCTAAAGGAGACTGATAAACTGGAGGATGAGAAATCGGGCCTGCAGCGGGAAATTGAAGAGCTGCAGAAGCAGAAGGAACGTCTTGAGCTGGTGCTGGAAGCCCATCGACCCATCTGCAAAATCCCTGAAGAAGATAAGGACACAGGTGGTACCAGCGGCGCCAGCAGCCCACCAGCCCCCTGCCGCCCTGTACCTTGTATCTCCCTTTCTCCGGGGCCTGTGCTTGAACCCGAAGCACTTCATACCCCCACGCTCATGACCACACCCTCTCTGACTCCCTTTACTCCCAGCCTGGTTTTCACCTACCCTAGCACACCAGAACCTTGCTCCTCAGCTCATCGAAAAAGTAGCAGCAGCAGCGGTGACCCCTCCTCTGACCCCCTGGGTTCTCCCACACTCCTGGCATTGTGAGATACCCAGCCACACCCCTTGCCCATGCTACCCCAGTCATCTCCTTCCTTCCATTGATCCAGCAGGCCTGGACCATCCGCACGCCCCGAACCAGCAGGTCCTTTATCTCTTCAGAGTAGAACAAACTGTTATGCTTCGATGTGGAGCCAGCTTGGGGGGGGGTCCCCAAAGCTGCTCATTGTATCTCTAGAGCTGGCCTATCATAATTTGCACAAAATCAGAGACAAAACATGTCCCCTTTGGGCCTGGAGCCCTAACCCCTTTCGGACAGACTGCTCTCACACTATGTCACTTTCTTCATCTGATCCAGCCAGCCCCGCTCCCAGACAGAAGGTGCCCTCCCACTAGAACACTAACTCACACAGCTCCACTGCCAGCAGCACCAGGGCATCCTGCAGGTGCCTCCTGCATGGCTCAACTCAGGAGGCACCAGTGGCTTCTGTGATGAGCTGAGCTTGCACTCCCTAGCTTTGAGAAGCCTTTAGTTCCAGGGTATCCAAGCCTCCACATCAGGGGCAGCTGCTATTTATTTTCCTAAAGAGACTATTTTTATACAAACCTTCCAAAATGGAATAAAAGGCTTGAAGCTCTAGTCTGAGTTGTCATGTTGGATCCAGAGGCTAGAGGAGACCGTTTGGAACAGGAGCTCTAGGTTCCAGCCTCAGCTGTGACCTTGAAGAAACCACCATATATATTGAACTTCTATATCCCATCTGAAGAATGGGGATACCTCTGCTGTGCTTCAACTCCTGTACTTAGACTGAGAATGCTCCGGAGTACAAGCAAACAAGATTATCAGCCCCCCCTCCCCCCGGGAGACCCACACTGCTCCTATCTTAAGGACTGGGGGCAGGGAGGGGCTGTGTTATACCCTTCCACCTTCCGAACAGGCAGCCAGTGGGCTTGAGGCCCCCAACACCTGCTTCCTGCCCCATTGTTTTTGACAGGAAGGAGCCTGGAAGGGAGCTGGAGCCACTTCAGGGGCCGGATTTGGGGCTGTGTCGGCGCCCGTGGGGGAGTTAGTGGTCTACCACTGTCTTAAATCCCACCCCAAACTCCAGGTAATGAGGAGTTCTGCAGTCCCTCAGGATGGGAATTGCACCCGCGTCTTTGGGTTTCCGCCCTCTTCCCAACCCCGGCGATTTGCAGATATAGGCTGGCCAGGCTTCGGGCTCTGCTTCCTTCTCAGTTTATTAGTCCCCACCCAACCACCCATTAAGTCCCTCCACTTCAGCCTCCATTCCCCTACTGCCCTGCCAGCAAGAGCAAGGGGCCCTCCTCAGTGCCAGGGCTTTTTCAGTCCATGCCAGCGCCCTGGTGCTCAGCCGAAGCAGCGACCAGGTCTGGCGGTCCACAGAAGTCACCGTGCTCAGGGAGCAATTCAGGCAGGCGTTGGCGTAGAAAATGTGGCGCCCTCAGTCATCAGGGGAGCAGGCTAGGGGCAACTGATCTGGGCTGCCCACACTGCCAGTGCTGGAACTTCCATCGCCTAAGTCGCGGGGCCCGCACGGGGGCAGGGCGAGCTCGGGTGTTGTCCCGGCGCCTGAGCCCACTGCACTGCCGGGGCCACCGCGGGGGCCCCACTCTTCGCCCAGTGCCAGGCAAAGCTCCTTAAGCGCCAGGTTTTCCCGCAGCAGCTCCTCCTGGCGGCCTTCCAACTCGGCTAGCTTCTGCCAACAGCCACCCAGGTCCTCGCGCACAGCCCGGGATGCTTGAGTCCCGAAGAGCTGCCACTGGCGCGCTGCACGCCGTCCCCGCTGGCGCTCCGAGTCCAGGAAGCAGCAGAGATCCCGCAGCTCCCGGTTCTCCGCCTGCAGGCGCCGGTTGAGCTGTTTGAGCTCACGGATCTCGCCCAGGTGCCCCTGCAGCTGCCGATTCACCTCCTGCATCAGGCGGCCGCGCTGCACCAGCGCTGCCAGGCGCGCCGCCTCCTCCCGCCGCAGGCGCCGCACCAGCTCCTCCTTACCCAACGCCGCCATCTCCTCGTCCGTCAGCTCCTCCAGGCCTCCTGCTTCGGCCTCCATGGCTGATCAGGCAACTGCAGCATCGCCCGCCCGCCGCCGAGGCTCCGGAGCCCCTCCTCGGGCCGGTTGCCGCTCAGGCTCCGACCCGGGCTCTGGCTCTGAGGATGGCAAGCTGTGGAGGAGGCAGCGTAGGATGCAGCAGCCACCCCGGGGTGGGCACGAGGCAGGGCGCGCGCCGGGGCGGGGCCTCTTGATGTTGAAGAAGGACAGCCAATCCGGAAAGTCTCTTGGGAAGGGGCGGAGCCTAAGGCTATAGCGCTCATCTCTTCCCACTCCGGACTTGGGTGTCACGACCCTCTAAAAGTAGGGACCTTTTCTGTCCTTCCCTTCTATGGTCATCTCCGCAGAACATAAAGGCGTTGTGGGATTCCATGTCCCAAATCTCCTCAAGCACTTTTTGAGAACCGATGTTCGGGTGTCTGCCTTTGACTCCTGCCCACCCAGCAATAGAACTTAAACAGATGGCTTCCCAGGCTCTTCTTCCTTGGCCAGAACTCTCAAGCATCACTCCCAGCTACTCCGAATCCAGAGTCCAAAGGTCCTGGCTCATTATCAACCAACCCTCCCTCCCACCGAGCGTTTCCTGTCTGCCATATGGGCCATACAAAGAATTTGTTTGTTTAAAAAACTTTTGTTGTGTGAAAGGCCTTGTGCAGAAATAAATTTGACCAGAATCTTCATCTTGACCAAAAAGGTCAAAATCTGGCAAAAGAAGAAAAAAAGGAAAGAGCTGTGTGTGGGGGATGGAGACAGCTCAGAAGTGCTGCTTCCGGAAAGAACCAGAGATAATCCAGCCTTCACTCCTCCCGGGGAGGCTCACAGCCAGTTGTGAGGGCTGTGAACCTCCATGGGCACACACAAAAAATCTGAAATAAGAAAATCTTTTAGGCGAGGGGCGGGAGGAGAGCATCCAAGTTCACACTGAACACATGGCTCAGCGCTAAAGCACTTGCCTAGCAAGGCCCTGGTACATTTGCGAACCACAAGAGAAGGATGTGATGTAGAAGTGGTCTCTGGGAAAGTATTTCCCAAGGAGGAAATACCTGAAAGATGCCTAAGACTGTGAACAGAGTTCCAGGACAGACAGGGCTATGTAGAGAAACCTTATCTCAAAGACAACACAAAAGATTGCCAACAGAGAGAACGGATGTGAGAGAAGAGTGTGGTAAAGGCATCGATGCCCTAAGAGCCCGGCTGCGTGAGGAACAAGTGAGGATAGTTCTGAGATCTTGATAAGTGTAGGGAAACGGAAAGTGGGGAGATGCCGGGGCTCCGAAGAGCTGGGTGTGCTGCCTAGAAGTCAAATTCTTAAGGACTTGCAATGCTAAACTGGAGGCTTTCCAAAGACCAGTAAAAATTTTAAACAGGGAGCCAGGTAGTGGTGGCGCACGCCTTTAATCCCAGCACTCGGGAGGGGAGGCACAGGCAAGTGGGTCTTTGTGAGTTCAAGGCCAGCCTGGTCTACAGAGCAAGTTCTAGGACAGCCAAGGACTACACATAGAAACCCTGTCTTGAAAAATAAAAACACACAAATAAATAAATTTTAAAAAGGGAAATCACATTTTAAAATGTTTTGTCTTGTTTGATATAGGGTCTCAATATGTAATCCTGGATGGCCTGAAAGTGTCTATGTAGACCAGGCTGACCTACAAGTCACAGGAATTACAAGCATGAGCCACCTTGGAAAATATACATTTTTAGAAGACTGTTAAAAGAAGCCAGTCGTATTGGCAAATGCCAGTAATCCCAGCATTAGGAATGGAGTATGGGGTGGGGAGGGAGGAGGCAGGAGCCTCAGGAATTCCGAGTCATCCTTCCCATAGCAAGACCAGTCTGAGCTGTAGGAACAGACTTTGTCCCCCCAACCCCAAAAGAAGCCTTCAACTGCGCTATGTTGGGTAGACTCTGGCGGCAGGGTGTATACAGGATGAATAACTATGTATCAATGAACAGAGAGAGCTGTGTAGGAAGACTAGGCTGCCAGTCAGTGGGCAGAGAGGAAGAAGCAGATACCAGAGGCACCCAGCAGGCACGTGACAGCTCTGAGTGCTTCCAGAGAGGAATCTGGGAAACAGCCCAGGTTTCTAGAACTGATAGGATGCTGACTGGGGGTGAGAGAGATCTCTCTAGAGACCCTAGGGGACAGAGGTGGAGGGAAGAGACCTGGCCTTGTTAACCAGGACGTGCAGAACCTCCTGTCTTCTAGGGTCTAGCTAGACTGGCTTGTGTAGAGCCTTTTAATTTATGTTTTCCCATGACAGGATTTCTCTGTGTAACCCTGACTGCCCTGAAAAAACTCACCATAGGCCGGGCTGCCTCTGCTTCCGGAGTGTTGGGATTAAAGGTGTGCGCCACCGCATTGCTGTTATGGCTGACTTTTTGCCCCCTCTGAGGTAGGATTTCTCTGTGTGTACCACAGGCTGTCACAGAACTCACTCTCTCTAGACCAGGCTGGCCATGAACTCAGAGATCCACCTTCCTCATCATGAATTCACAGAGCTGTGCCCTGGTCTCTTCAGGGCTGACTCTTTTTTCTTTTCTTTCTTTCTTTTTTTTTTTTGAGTATAATAGGGGGTTATTTATTTGGGGATAGACTCACGGATCATAATCTTCTGCTGGAACAGAAAACAGCAACCAAATCCTCACTGATATATCTTCTGGTAGCAAGATCAGATCTCCTTGCTGGCCAGGTAGCTCGCAAACAAAAGGCCTACCTTCCAGGACTGACTCTTTTCTTTTGTTTGTTTCTTTGTTTTTGGTTTTCAAGACAGGGTTTCTCTGTGTAACAGCCCTCGCTGCCCTGGAACTAGCTCTGAAGATCAGGCTGGCCTCGAACTCACAGAGATCCGCCTGTCTCTACCTCCCTTAATTTATTTATTTATTATGTATATAGTGTTCTGCTTGCTTGATGGCTGCTGGCCAGAAGAGGGCATTCCAGATGGCAGTAAACCACCATGTGATAGCTGGGAATTGAACTCAGGACTTTTGGAAGAGCAGGCAGTGCTCTTAACATCTGAGCCATCTCTAGCCCCAGAGCTGATTCTTCTTTTGTTTGTTTGTTTTTTATTTTTTTTTTCAAGACAGGATTTCTCTGTAGCTTTGGAGCCTGTCCTAGAACTAGGGCTTGTAGACCAGGCTCGCCTTGAACGCACAGAGATCCGCCTGCTTATGCCTCCTGAATGCTGGGTTTAAAGGCTTGCACCACCACTGCCCCACCCAGGGCTGACTCTTATCTTAAACACTGGGTATTTGAAAATAAAATGAGTCCTTTTTTGTTTTGTTTTGGTTTTGGATTTTTTTTTTTTTTTGAGACAGGGTTTCTCTGTGGCTTTGGAGCCTGTCCTGGAACTCGCTCTGTAGACCAGGCTGGTCTCGAACTCACAGAGATCCGCCTGCCTCTGCCTCCCGAGTGCTGGGATTAAAGGCGTGCGCCACCATCGCCCGGCAAAGATAATTTTTTTTCTTTTTCTTTTCTGGCTTTTTTTTTTTTTTTTTTTTTGGTTTTTTGAGACAGGATTTCTCTGTGTAGCCCTAGCTGTCCTGGAACTCACAGAGATCTGCCTGCCTCTGCCTCCCAAGTGCTGGGATTAAAGGCGTGCGCCACCACCGCCCAACTATTGGTTTTGGATTTTTGAGACAGGGTTTCTCTGTGTAGCCCTGGGTGTCCTGGAACTCACTCTGTAGGTCAACCAGGCAGGCCTCAAACTCAGAGATACACCTGCCTCTGCCTCCTTAGTGGTGGGATTAAAGATTATTTTTTTTTTAGTAATTAAAAAAGTAAATTATACTTAGGTGTATGTGTAACAGTGCATGTGTGGTGGTCAGACGACAATTCGTTGACGTTGCTTTTTTTACACAGTGTGGGTCCTGGAGATCGACCCGTCAGGTTTGGTGGCTCCTGTGTCCAACACAAAGAAGACAGTGGAAAGCCTTAGCAGATAGATGGCCCTGCAGATGCCTGCTTCCAGGAAGAAAGACTTTAAGAGAAGTCACAGCTTGTGTGGGGGTGTAGTAAGTGTTGAAAAACCATAGTGGGGGCTGGAGAGTTGGCTCAGTGGTTATGAGCAAGAACTGCTCTTGCAGAGGATCTGAGTTCAATTCCCAGCACCCACATTGGCGACTTCCAGTTGTCCGTAATTCCAGCTCCAGAGGCTCTGATACATCTGGTCTCCCAGGGCAACTGTACTCACATGCATATACCCCCCCCCAGCATACACATAGTTCAAAATAATAAAAATAAGATACATGGAGGGAACAAGAAAGATGCTCATCTGTCTGATGGCTATGCAAGCAGAGCCATATGCACTCAGCGATTTAGGATAAAGCCTCAGAAAGATTCTAATTTAGGACACAGGCCAAAATTGGGAGACTCTGAGAGAGCTGAGAAGATGGAAGAGACAAAAGGAGGAAATGGGAGAATCTGTAAGACAGGCGAGACTGGGAAAAGGCTTTCCGGAGTTCTACAGAGAACCTCCAGCAGGGGAGAGAAATGAGGGCAGAGCAGCTTCCTCCTACCACTTCGTCCCGGAAGTGGTCCTTCGCTGGCTCCGGGTGCCCGGAGCGAAATCTCCGCACTCCCGGAAGTGGCTCTGTGGCTGCTTGCCCGGCCCAGGGCCGTGCTAGCTCCAGCTCTGGACGAACCCGGCCCGGGCATCGCCATGACCAGCGAGCTAGACATTTTCGTGGGGAACACGACCCTTATAGATGAAGACGTGTATCGCCTCTGGCTGGATGGTTACTCAGGTCTGTGTAGCGCCCTCCCGGGATCGGGAAGCGGTTGTTTTGGGTGGGAGAGGGGGCGTGGCCAGGATTTAGGCTTCACTTAGGGAAGTGGACTGTCTGCTGGGAGTCAGGGATGGAGAAAGATTGGAGCTAGAGCCCCTGGAGGGCCCCTGGGTACAGCAAGGTGGGACCTTATGGTAGTGCCCTCTCCCTAGTGAACGATGCAGTGGCGCTGCGAGTACGCTCCGGGATCCTGGAGCAGACCGGCGCCACCACAGGAGTGCTACAGAGCGACACCATGGACCACTACCGCACCTTTCACATGCTCGAGCGTCTGCTGCACGCGCCACCGAAGCTGCTGCACCAGCTCATCTTCCAGATCCCTCCCTCCCGACAGGCGCTCCTCATCGAGAGGTGCTCACCTAGGGGACGGCGGGAATGTCAATCAGTTCGA